ACCACTCGTGTAATCATGCATGGACCTAGGGTAATGATGTCCGTCTCATTCCACCATCTTTCCTACGTAAGGTTGTTTGTTGATATAAAAAAAAAAAAAAGTTGTTTTAAGAAGTAGTGATCATTAATACCAGTCCAGTTCTGGAAATTCTCCATTATTCATGTGGTCTGGAGCCCTCGGGAGGATCCCTTCCACAAACTGCCCTGATGTTTGTAGGTATTGTCTCTGTATTTTACTCAGGAAATGTTCCTTGGCACGCATGAGAATGTCAAGAGTAAAAAGAAATGCCCAAGAGTTTTCTACCTCTAGCCAGGAAGAGAAAGTGACCACAATTGTCCCTTTTATTATGTGTAAAGTGAGACCAATTCTATTTGACCTTTATTTTGCAAAGTAGTACTTATCAGAAAGCAGATTTCTGGGAAGGACAAGAAACACAGACAAAAAGTGAAAATTCAGAGTATCAGGAATTACCCAATGAAAGCTACCATGTCTTAATGTGGAAAAAGTCATTATCCACAGAAGTGCTCTGTTACATTCTGTGGTCAATCATCAAACAAAGATGCAATAAACAAGATTCTTCACTGTTTCGTCACTATTATGTCTTGCTCAAAATGTAGTGAAAAGGGAATATTCTCATCAGATGATTACTGAATAATTCAATTAGGACCATGTTCTGTGGATGTGAAATAATGTAATTTACTATGTTGAATGATTGGCCAATCAGATTTCTCCCATTTTCTAAGGCAATGGATTAACTAAAATGTGACCATAAACAAAACAGTTTTTATTAGGCATAATCTACTTTGTAAACAAATGAAATTAATTATTTGCCTGACCTAAAGCTTTGAAAATGAAAGACCCAAACTGAACACATGCTTCCAATTTCTATCCTGTTACTTAGATGACACTTAATATAAAAGTTACAATTTAACTTCCCCTCAAGTATTCCATACTTGAGACTAAATGACTCTTAGAAATATGTTCATCAACAGATGGGAGCCACTTATGGCCTCATAAACTCCAAAGCAAGTGAAATTACCCCAGCAAAATAGAAAGAGATGACAATAAAGGCTCATCTGCTTATCTCAAATCATGATTAATACATTGCATATTGGTTCAATGATGCAATGAATATTGACAGATAATCACCCTTCTTCATACAAGAGAAATACCAAAGAGACAAATGCTAGTGATGTATTCTGTCCATCAATCAATAACTAATTTCAGCACAAGCCCTGTGTGTCGAGCCACGGATGTGCTACAGAAGGTATGGGGAAAAGTACCAGCATAGCTCTAAAGGAGCTTTCTGTCTTGACAGACAAGTTGAACACACCTGACACACTGCACAGAATAGCAGAGAGTGTGTTATTACCTGCTAGCTTAGTGATTATGCCACAGAGATAATGAGAGATTTTGGAGTAATCAATGAAGAATACAGTGGTCAGGGAAGAGTTCACGAGGGCTTTGAAAATCACATATTCAGAGTCAGAAAGAAATATAACATGGTAGCCTGGAAAAAGGTCTCAGGTAAATGAGTGTGGAGTTTTTCTCAGCACAATAGCCTGTATTTTCCCTTTCTCTCCATCCCCGTTGGTACCCATCACCAATCCCTCTTCCAGCAACTCTGACTTCCTCTTTCTTCCACTCTTTCCATCACAAGTCCATTTTCCACTTGACCAGCCAAGTGAGCTTCATAAAATGTAAATTGAATCACGTGATCCCCATGGAAAACGTCCATCGGCTTATATCATACCTCGGGGAAAATCCAAAGTCCTTACCATGATCTGCTCTACATTGGTCCTGCCCTCCTCTTTGATTTCGTCTCATCTCACTGGGTGGATCTCACTTGTGTGACGACCACACTGAGCTGCCCTCTGCCCTTCCACCTAGCCAGGCCCATTCCCTTGCGAGAGCCCACAGGCATGCACTGCCCATGCCTGACATGCTTCATTCACTCGTTCTTGTCTTTCATCTCTCAGCTCCCGTGGCTCCTCCACAGACATCTTCCCTGGACATCTATTAAGGGCGGCTTTCCCCACTCTCCCCCTGACACACTCGATCATCACTCTGCTTTACTACTTCATACCATCTATCTTTTCCTTGTTCACTCATTTATCCCTTTATGATCCATCTTCACCCACATAAACATCAGCACAGCAAGAACAGGATCCATGTCAGCATCCTTCACCCTCCAGCCTCGACACCAGAAAAACAGTGCCCATGCTAGGTACTCAATAAAAACTCCTTCAATGACTATGTTGCTTCATTAATTCTTCCAGCTGCAGCAATAGTCTGGGCATGGGAAGGAAACATGTCTAAGTAAAATATCCAGAGTGGTAATGAACTTTTGAAGTGGAAGGAATAGAGTTTGGTGTCTGAATAGAGAACAGGACTGAGTAGGCTCAGCCAAGGATCAGCTCAAGGCCCCCAGGGTTACTGTAGAAAGGGGATACACTTTCAAGGAATAAATAATTTGTAGTGAAAAGCTGTGTTTAATGAGTAGACACTACATATCAAGCATTAGATGTGTATTTCTTTTTTTTTTTTCCTACAACCTTACTAGGTAGGTATCACCATCTCTATCTTTAAATGAAAGGTTGGTTCAACAACTCCCAAGTTATTCATCCAGGTATCTGAGCCCAGTTGAGATTCATTTGAGAGAAAAAGTCCTGACTCAGAATCAATGGATGGCTGCAAGTAAAAATCAACCGAGTCTGATCTTCAGAGCTCTCTCTGTCCCATTTCACAAGCTGTTGGGTTCCTAGGGGGTGAATGCATGTCTCACTGTTGACATGGGGGTGGATGCATGTCTCACCACCAGCCTTGGCTCGCAGGGCTTCTTTTACAAATTGGTCTGTGCACCTGGGGATTCCAAAAGTTGTCCTCCTCATTTTGGAATAATGCAGGGTAAGGAGCTGAAAATACCTTGAAAAAGATACTAAAGAGATAAGTCCCCCACTGAGGGTAGGAGGGCTTGATTAGTGGAGGAGAATGAAACCAGGGACCTTGGCAACAACCACCCAAAGAGTAACAAAGCCCCAGAGAAACTAACCAAAGTGCAGTGTATGGAGATATTTTGCTTCCATCTATCTGGACATCGACCTAAGTTACTACCTAGAATATAGAACCTAGAGTTTGTTAGCTATGAGTTTGTTAACTAGGTTTCCAAAGAAGACAGGCCTGCTGATATGAACAGGGAATGAGAAGATGCTGCCACTGAGTACTCCAGTGTCTTCTTCCTTGTGGTGGGAAATAGATGTTTTTCCTCAATGAATAAATCGCCATGGAGATGGCATCGTAGTGTTAGTGTCTTGGAGATAAAAAGCCCAGGGAACAGATCCTCTAGTCTCCAGAAATTTACCGGGGGTTGAAAGGTGACATCAACTTGTCTTCTTTCATCTCCAAGTCCAGGCATACAGCTTTCAAGTGCCCACATATATGTTCTCCCAGATTAGCATCCACTGAAATGTCCAGATGCAAAATGAATTTTCTTGAAAAGGCCAACATGGATGGAGTGAAGCCACCTCACTCCGTAACCACCATATCTGGGTATGCATGTTTCTAGAGCTAATTTGGAGGCAGAAAATGAGATAAAGATGCCACGAAGATAAGAAGGTTTGTTCCAAGGCTGGCACCTCTGTGTGGTTTATGCTATATGAGGACAGACCCTACAAATAGGCCGGGCTAGCTGACACCAAAATTTTCAGGAGCAAGAACTCAGCAGAGCACAGGAGAGTTTCCGTTCTTGGTATCCAAGATCATGTATTCAAACTGGAGAAGAGAAGCAGCTAAAAGTTGGGCGATAGCTACTCTCCACACTAACTAGACTTGACTCGGGCACAGTTGGCCATCTCAGGGTAGCTCAGTGTGAAGGATGGCGTGCACAAGGAAAGACTCATACACTTATAGATGGGGTGACTCTGAGAGGCCAGTGTGTGTCCTTTAGTGAGAAACTGATGGTCTTAGAGCCAGACAAGCCTGGATTTTAATCTCAGCTGCAGCAATTTCCAGTGAGCAAGTTGTGACTCTAACCACTGGTGGAGCTGGAGTGAGGACTCCAATCACTTATGTTAGTGCAGCATCGGGCACACTTGAAACACTCTTGGATCATCAGCCAGAGCTCACTGTCGCCACACAACCCCCTCCTTACAGCCTTGGCTTAGGAGCTTTTCTATACCTAAGGGAGAGTGGAGCCCTGGCAGAGTTGGAGACTGACACAAGGACTTTTCCTGCCAATTGGTCTAGATTCCTCCCTCTCACACAGGAAGGCGCATGCTCCAGACCTGGGCATCTCAATGTAGGGGTTATGATAGGTGAGGCCAAAGGGTCTTCCCACTGGCCCGGCCAACTGATCCCAAAGCGCCAGTCTTTTCTTTGGCTTTTACAGATGAATGATGCTCAGAATCATATACCTTCATCTTATTACAGTACTGACTATAGGCCAGTTACAGTGGCCTACAGTTATTGGAGGCCCAAGCCTAAGGAAAATTCCTGTAGGGTGCCTAAGAATTCTTTCCCCCTGCTATGGATGATCCACTTTCCTTGCATGGCAAGTAGATGAAGTTGATAGGTTGCAATGGTCTTTTCTAAGCAGTTAATGTCAAAATGTGTTTGCTCCTTCCAAGGAGCAGATTACAGAATCGAAGAAAGAGGATGATCATACAGTGCCTGCAAACCTTTGGAAATTTTTTGCTTGTTTTATGATACATGATTCTCTAGAAATAAATCGGGCACCCTCCTAGCTATCAGTATCTCAGTATAAAAGAGAATAGTAATTGGAATTCAGCAGCAACCCCTGCCAGGATGCTGCTGCTCCAAGAGTTGGCAAAGCCATTGGCATTGCTCAAGTAGCTTTGGACTAGTGGGCAGTGGGTGGGGGGAGAAGCCATCCCCCAGGTGTCTGCTGCCTTCTGGGACTGGACTCTGTCTAAAGGAAGTAGTGGAAAAGGTTAGCGTGCCTCCAGCTCCCTCCCCTCTGCTAGCTGCAGGGCTGCACTTACTCAGGCTGAGCTGCAGGTGGCAGACACTTCCCTGGGATCCCCCAGGTCCCCAAGGAGCTCATTCTGGATCAGCCCTAGGAAGTGAAATTGTGTGCTCTCTGAAGGCTCTCTGCTCTAGGCCAAGAGATCAGGATCAGTGCCACTCATACCCACTTCTGCACAGAAAGAAGAAGAGACCATGATCAATGAAGTGGATGTTTCTGGTGGCCATTTCATTGATACCTTGAATCAAGTACTATTATCTCCACGAGAGAAAATCAATTGGGGGAAATGCTCAAAAGCATCAAAACTTTAGAATTAATGAAATAATTGTCTTGAAATAAAACTGACAAGTTTTATTCAAATGCATACACAGGGAAGCCCTTCCAAGCATCCCTTCGGTGAATTAGACAAAACTGTTCAAACAGAGCTCTAGTCACATCAGCAGGACAAACTGTTCCCCTCCTCTCTGCCTGTTTTGCAGTTTGTTTACGTCTTCGATTCCTCCCTTGAATTCTTCCTGAGACTGAAATCCTGAAAAGAAACTTCACATGACCTTCGGGTCCCCATGTCAGGATCCGCTGTCACAAGCAACCTCTCCTCCTGGCTCAGGACCCAGGGGACCAATGATGACACCAAAGTGTGAGCCTCCTGCTCTCTCCTGAAGGTTGGAGAGGCTGATATGAGTAAAGCTGAGTTGTCAGATATGCAAGTGACATAAGCCAGAGGGGCGTGTGTCACTCAAAGGTGCTGACACAGGAGAATCTGATCTGAGGCTAGGAGAGGCTTAACCCAAATAAGACCAATGGAATGTATTCCTGCAATGTCCTGCCACTCTCACACTTGGCATTGCTGCCCCCAAGGCTCAAGTAGCTTTAGACTGGAAGGCAATGTGTGGGGACCCTGGATATGTGCTGCTTCCTAGGATTGCTTTCTCGCTTATGCTAACACCCAGCTCCTCCAATATCTTCAGCATCTTAATTAGAATGTTCTCTTGGACCTCTCCCATTTTAATTCTCTGATGGCTCCTAGAAATAAATCAGGCCTCTCTGTCTCTCTGTCTCCCAATAATGGTCAAGCTTCTCCTTATTTGCTAGATGAGATCCCAAAGGGGGTCTAATATGCTAATTCATTTGGCCAGTTACTCTCCACCCACCCAGTCACTGTCCTGCTGCAGATTTCCCCCTTGGCTGCCAAATGGCCTATGGATAAGCCACCCGTAGGTCCAATACCCACCCCAACACTGCTTACATGCACAGAGTCTGTTGCCATGGACATTTCAATCTGAAGTTGAAAAGCAGCATGCTGGATGGTAAACCCAGTGCTGAGGGGAAATTGGAGAAGAAAGTCACAAAGAGAGACCGCACTGACAATGGGAGAAACCCATTGTAGTCAGACATAATATGTCAGTCACTGTACTATGGATTTTATAACTGCATATAGCTAATTAACTCCCAGAAAGATAACGTCTTATCTTTTCTCACCACCAGAGCATCAGAAAGGTGAGATTTTCAGCATCACTCTTGGTAAATGAGGTCCAGAGAGGCCTCCTGTCCAAAGTC